AGGAGAAGGCAATGAGAGGCAACGCCCTGGGACTGCTGTATAAAAAGGGAAGTGTGGGCGTTGCTGGTTGCTGAAGGCAACCGTTTGCAAAGTGCTTCTTGGAATCCTGGTCTGTTCGTCTTGTTTGCAATGTGTTCCTGTGGACTATTTCCTTCCTTTGAACTTGAGGTTTGCTGTTTGTGTTTTGGACTTATTGACAAGATTGTCACCCAAATAAAAGGGATTTTGTTTTGTTTTAAAGTTTCCAGCCTATTGTATCAGCAGGGGTTTGGTCCTTATGCCTCTAACAAGGACGGCAATAGGCTGGGATAGAACAACTCTGTAAACCGCTTAGAGAGGGCTGTAAAGTACTATGAAGCGGTATGTAAGTGCTATCGCTATTCTAACAATATGAAAGATAATACTTTTATAGTTCTTGCATGGATTATACTTTATTATGGCCTTGGAGCCAGAAAATATACATCAAATGTGTATGTCAGAGATGTATAGAAAAATATGCACATACAATCTTTAAATGTAAATAAAAAGTAAGCATGCTTTTATGGTATATGCTCCTGGCCATGCAAACAAAGTGACAAAAAAGCTTCATGCTCTCTGCTGGGATGTTTGGGACAGATGAATCGCACATGGGGTTCCCTGCAAAGAGGGGTACGTGAGCAAGAGGAGCATGAAGCGCAGGGAGAGCCATGGATTTTTTCAACACCCCCACAGGACTGCATGAGGCAGTGTGTCCAATCTGGCCAAGGTGAAGATGTTCAGATAAAGAGAATTCAGACACTCCTGATATTGGTGGCAGAAGGGGTCAGTCTGTTATTTGGGAGATACCAATGAGGGTAATCAATGGAATTGTAGAGTTGAAAGCATCCACAGAGGTCATTTAGTCCAGCCTCTGCTTGATATAGGGTTCTTGATATAGGGTTCTTGATATAGGGTTCTGAGGTGGGCAAGGAGATGCAGGATTCCTGCAATTGTTGTTGTTAGTTGCAAAGTCATGTCCGACCCATCATGACCCCATGGACAACGTTCCTCCAGGCCTTCCTGTCCTCTACCATCTTCTGGAGTCCATTTAAGCTCAGGCCTACTGCTTCAGTGACTCCATCCAGCCACCTCCTTCTCTGTCGTCCCCTTCTTCTCTTGCCCTCAATCTTCCCCAGCATTAGGCTCTTCTCCAGTGAGTCCTTCCTTCTCATTAGGTGGTCGAAGTACTGAAGTTTCACTTCAGGATCTGGCCTTCTAAGAAGCAGTCAGGGTTGATCTCTTCTAGGGCTGACCGGTTTGATCACCTTGCAGTCCAGGGGACTCGCAGGAGTTTTCTCCAGCACCATAGTTCGAAGGCCTCAACTCTTTGGCGCTCAGCCTTTCTTATGGTCCAACTTTCACAGCCGTACATTGCAACTGGGAAAACCATGGCCTTGACTATACGCACTTTTGTTGGCAGGGGGATGTCTCTGCTTTTTAGTATGCTCCCTAGATTTACCATAGCTTTCCTCCCCAGGAGCAAGCGTCTTCTAATTTCTTGGCTGCAGTCCCCATCTGTGGTGATCTTGGAGCCCAGGAAGATAAAATCTGTCACTACCTCCATTTCTTCCCCATCTATTTGCCAGGAATTGAGAGGGCTGGATGCCATGATCTTGGTTTTTTTAATGTTGAGTTTCAAGTGTGACTTTTATTCCTACAGAAACCTGATGCCAAGGACCTTGGAAGGACAGATCACCATGGAGAAAACTCCAAGTTATTTTGTGACAAAGGAAGCCCCGCGGCGCATTTACAATATGTCCAGAGACATCAAGTTGATCGTGGTGGTTCGCAACCCTGTGACCCGGGCCATTTCAGACTACACCCAGACTCTTTCCAAGAACCCCGCCATCCCCAGCTTCCAAAACCTGGCCT